AAGTGGATATTTATATACACCAAACAAGCCTTACTATTGCCGAGTTACAGAAAACTTTTGGAGCTAATTAGATTTTCCAACACTATCGATGTTTATTCTCTATCAATAATATAAACTAAATATAATTAAAAAAAAAAATTTTTTATTTCACGTTTCATTTCATATACTTGTGAGTGTTCTTTTTGCAATACTGCCCATAGTATTCATGAGTCTCCATTTTTGTCTTTACCATCTCAAAAACTATTTTATGGTAGTCTTTCAGATGCATGATGTTACAATGTGATGTGAGAGCATATGTACCATCATAGTTTTTTTTTTTCCTTTCAAATGGTTATATGTCCTTATATAGAATCTTAATTCAAATTTTAATAATTTTAAAATTCTAACAAACCTGACATTTACCAGCCAGAAAGCATAGAGTACAAATTTAAAAAAGTGATAAGAATACTCTTTTTGCAAACATTTTATTTTATGTTCTAACAAACATCCCTATCATTGCATGTAGTAAATATTTAAATTATTAGAACAAGAAGTGTCCTTTAAAACATTTTTATCTATATAATATATAGAGAGTTATGAAATTATTAGGTTCGCCATAACCTTAAAATTTTAAAGTTTATAATGTTTGTACTAAATTACAATTGAAAATTAAGCTCAACTCTTCAGCTCCTGAGCTCAAGTATGGTCCACATTTTGTATGAGAGATACGAGCGTGTTTCGACCATGAGTTGAAGAATGTTCACACCTCATTCAGATTTATAAATTAGAGTCACATTGTGATCAAGTATTGTTTAGGCACTGGAGGTATATTAGTGGTGGAGCAGTCCATGGCATTTTTTGTATGTTGCAGAGCATAGAAAGTGGCTTTATGTTTCAAAATGAAGTCACTTAAGTTTCACATTGTAAAAATGTGCTCTCAATGTTGTTTTAGTCCCTATGCAACATTGGGGAATGTACATATATATTCATCAAACTAAAAAACTTGCTTATGTATATAATTTAGGCTTTTTTAATGTCATATTTTTGTAATTTATGCATTTATAAATACATTTTTCTAAACTATAAAAAGTTTCATTAAATATATAATAATTAAGAAATTATTAATTTTTAAATATAGAGAAATATCCTACAATATAATTCCTTAAAAGCAATATATCTAACTATCCTGGAATATATTAAATAATTCAAATATTATAAATCATTATTCAAGATACAATTCCTTAGTTTTATCCATTACTAAAAATTCTCAATAAAAGCTACCTTAAACTTAAATGCAACTAAACACCTTCAACCTCTCTTTTAGAATGGATTTCTCAATAATTTACTTCCCATTTCATACCATCTTTCCTTGTTCCCAATAAAGTTATATTCTAACATAGTAGTGTATATAGTATTGGGATTAATATAGAACACAGATATTAATAAAAATTTAAAATTTAAAAGATTTTAAATTTTATATCAATGATAGAGCTCCCTATAATCAATTTGTGCCTCCTCATGCCTCAAATCCTGTTTTTTTATTAGAGTTGGCAAAGGACAAAAAACAAATGCATTTCATTGCATTCAAAAATGGTAATAGCTTAATTATGTATTTTAGAAAGAGCATGGCAAAAATCTTAAATGGAAAGGATAAAGCTTTTCTACCTTCTTTAAGCACCTCTCTAAAGTTTGGGCTAGAATAAGTTCTATTTAATTTGAATTTAAATATTTTATGCCAAGTGGGCAATGTAGAAAAAAAACTACTAGCAATTAATGTCTCATCCTTCATAGTTTTAGTTTCTAACACCAATATCTAGAAATATCCCAGAATCCAACACAATACTCAATGCAATCAAATGCTTTTATAAACTACATCAACATTAAAAATATTATTTGTCAGGTTAAACAATTTTGGCTTTAGTGCAAATCTACAAGTGAGCCATTTGTAAAAATCATAACTTCCAAAATAAAGATAATAAATTAATTATATCTTTTCCAACACAAAAATATACTCTATTGTCTTGGGTTATGAACACAATTTCTTAAATGTTAGGCTAAAAAATTCCTATAGCATACCTTAGGTTTACTCACATGATTATAAAGTCTACAATAGCTCCATTTAGAGGCTTGCTAATCCAACAACAAAGATAAAAATCCAAAATTGAAATTAAAAAATTTAAAAATTTTTATACCTAAAATTTCCCACATATCCAACATATTTATCATAGTCATGTCTTCCAATACTATCCCAAATTTAAAATTGAATGACTATAGGAGGTTAGACTCTTGTATTTTTACTCAATATTTAGCATATCTATATTTTGAATAAAAGAAAATTATAGACCTTTTTGTATCATGATTTTCCTCACTTTTATTCTTGTTAGGTGTTATAATTGACTTCATTTAGTAAACATGTATGCTTCTATGTCTTATTTCTAGCATAGCTAGATTCTTGGTTAATTTCAAGTTTATTAATATAAGAAATAGATTTGTGTACATAGATAATCAATATTTAAAAACAATCTATTTGATTTGTGAAGTTTACTTCTTAGTTCAGTTTCTGTTATTGCTGTGATAAACTTTTGAAATAATTATTTAACATTCATTATATTACTAGACTAAATGATAAGCACTAAATAATATTAAAGGTTATCTAGCAATCATCTAAGAGATGGGGATGTCAAACTAGCACACTTAGTCATTAGTGTGAATTATGTTTTTTAACCAATGTTTTTGTTCATTCGGGTATCTAGTTTCATTTATAAAATATTTAGAGTTATTATAAAAGTGTAAATTAATAATAAAATTTTCTTTTTACTTAATAATTTTATCTTTAGAAGTTATAATTACCCTTCCATACTCATCAATACACTCAATTATTATATTTCTCTCAATAGCCAAGGCTCTTGCAATTGCAAAAGCAGAAATAAAAAATATATGAGATAATCCAGTAACCTTATATAGAATGGTTACAGACATTTTATCAAGAAGAATATTAAATGATAATAATTTTGCCAAATGATTATCCCTAAAAATATTAAATAAAGAGAATATTAAAAAAAACAAAAACTTTAGAGACAATATTTACCAGCTACTATGATGAGTTAGTGTGATGAAATTATCAATTTTTGCAGTATATACATTATCTAACAAAGAAGAAAAATTATAAAATATCTTATTAAAGAAAGTTTCTTAACATTAATTATCAAATCTCCTTGTGCTATTCTTGATATTGATATATTTACTCTTGCTATAGATCCTTCAGATATTGGAATAAGATTCAAATCAGCAAATTGTTCAATGCAATCCTAAAATAAAAGTAAAATATCTAAAAATTTCAAAATATAAAAATATAAAATATAAACCTCAATATTATGAAGAAATCCAATATCCTTGCTCTTCATTCATAATTGTGAGGCCAAATGGCCTTTTCTTATGTGATATTCTGCAAAAATGAAAATAAAAAATATGAAATACGAAATAGAAAGCTTCCTTACCTATAAAAAGTGTAAGTTTCATATGGGATAAACACGTAAGAATCTCATTTGGATAGCTCAAAAATAAACTCTAAAATAATCACTTGTGAAACACAATATGTTTTAAAATCACAAATTTACCTTTTACTAAGAGTTCTCTTGTTAGTGCTCTTGGTCAATCTCTAAACAGGCCTGTAACAAAAATAATATCTAGTAAGGTATATAACAAAATTACAGTTTTACCGTACCAAAGTTTGGAGATTCTATGGTTTTCCTGCTTTTTTTTTTCCATAATCCCTCAAACATTAGAAAGCATTACCAATGGTAATTGCATTTACGTGTGCTTTGTCAAACAGTAGCATAATTTCCACAGTGCCCCATGGTGGCTTTGTCTTTGATACCAAATGCATCCCATTGATCACTGTCAAAGGTCTCTCCAGTTGGGACTCTCTTATCTGGGGGGAGCAAACATGACTGAAATGATTCTCTTGTCATCTCTTACAACTTGTCCACATCATCTCCAGAGAGAAAGAGCCTGACCTTGCTATTGATGCCAATACCATGGAGGTTGACAACAACACATTTTTTGATCCCTCGAGTGCCTCCACAGCAATCAGCTCCTCCATGACATGCACATTCCCTCCTTTCCAGTGAGACACCCACACAAACTTGGAGGCTGAGAATGTCATTGGGATGTTCCAGTGGTTCTGGTAGTAGTCCTCAAAGTCAACAATCCACTCCAGTGCCTCATACCCCAATGCCTTTGTCGGGACTGCAAGAAGAATGTAGTTGCAAAGGAAGGACACCCTTAAGGGATGTGGATGCAGAACAAGCTTTCCAAAATCTCAATGATATAGATTCAAGTGAGGAAAATTTTCCCCTAAAAAAGAAATTCTAATTTTGCTAGAGCATACTCTTACACAAGAGGCTGCCAAGCAACTGCTCTCAGAGATTGTCATCTCTATCACTACATCCATAGTGCATGTCAAGTTCGTAAGTAGAGACACAACCCAGCTTGTCGATGGCCTGGACCTCCCACGGAAGCAGCAGTGCCAGCTTCAGAGGGTTCCATCTCATTGCAATACCTGTAAGCTGGAACGCCAGTAGAGGGGATCCAAATGTCTGCGACTGTGCTCGCTGCAAGTGTAGTCGTGAGCCATGTTAAGTTGATGACCGAAGTTGTCCAACACGTCATCGCTAGAGCTGAACTCCCGTCTGTAGTAGGTTTGCGTCTTTTGCAACAAAACTTGCATCTTGTTTGCAGGTTATCCACCTCCTACAAGAATCTTTTTCCAGCTGGCATCAGAAAAGAGCACTAGAGAGGTGGTGTGGCTGTTGTAAACCAGCTTGAGCCGATCCGCAGCTGTGGCATTCCACGGACAAATCGGCTCGCCCTACGATAAAACATCTCCGAAAAGCCCTAAACCTAGGTCTAAATTAAAATGCCACTGTGCCACGTGAGCGTCCAAGTCTTTTATATATGAAATAAAAGTTTTGCCACCACCCACGACCGGCAAATGCAAATTGCCGGCCGGCACCAAAAAAGCTGACACGTAAGCCATCCTAGGGCTCTAGTGTGACAGAGTATGATCTCTACGGAGAGGAGATAGTCCTTTGTTTTTTAGGAAATGCCCCTTTGGGAGCGTGCATAGATCTCTGCGCTGAATCGATGCCGCCCGGCCAGCTGCCGAGCTCCACGAATCTGGTGGCCGTGCGACAAAAATCTCGCTCCTGGCTCTGTAGGTCGCAGGGATTTTGCGCGCGCGCGGCGATGGCGTCCTAGATGGAGCGATTCCAGCAGCAACATTCCGCGCTGTGTGCATTGTGCCGGAGATTCTCCCGGGGAGGATGTCCGAGGCGCGAGCTTTGAGGATTTCCTCTTGGCCGGGGAGGGGAGAGAGCGGCGGGGCGGCAGCTATGAGGTCGGGTTCCATCCGGAGGAGAGATGTGGCAAAGAAGCGGCAGCATCACCAGCACCAGCAGGAAGAGATGGAAGAATCGGTAGTGGCGGCAGCGCATCGTCACGGATCGGAGGCTACTTGCGAGCCGCTTGGCATTTTCTACTGCCCGTGGCAAACAAGCGTCGTAAGTTCGCGAGATTTCTTCCTTGTTTTTTTTTATCGCGTGATTGATTGTTTTGTCTCTCTGGGAGCCTTGTTAGAACAGTGTGGCGTTTTGACTTTAGCAATGTTTCCTGGCAGGATTTTAATGCTTAACTTGTGCGCGCTAGCTCATTCATTCACTCGTTTCATTCATCAATCCCTTCTCCTCTTTTCTTTTGCTTCTCGTAGATTGATGATGACGACGATGAGTGGAGAGAACGGCGGAGACGCGAAGAACAGGCATGGACACAGATCTTTTCCAAGATAATTGTGCAATGGGGGCATTGGTTCTGTAAGTGGAAGAACTTCTTTTGTCGTTCGCTTTTATTCCAGCTCGCTTTCTCTCTTTGGATTCTCGTGTTTAACTTTGTTCTTGCTTATCGTGCTTTGATGCAGCTCATATCGTTGCTGGATCAGGTGCGTGGGTGGGTAGTGTTCTCCATCGTGTTGTGACGCGCCGGCATGACAATGGGGCCAAAATCGCAGACTACGATTTGACGCCCATTCAGGTTCGCTGTCGTTTTGCTCTTAGGAAAAGTTCTTCCATCCATCCATTAAGCTTGCCTAGATCAACAGGAAGAGAGGCTGCACAAACTTCAACAGCGATTGGAAGTGCCATTCGATGGAACGCGTTCGGAGCACCAGGTACACGTTTGTTTCATCTGAGCGGAGCAGAGTTGACTCGAGCGATCGGCCTCCTTTTCCAAGCAACGCATTTCTCTCGTGTGTCCAGGAAGCTCTGATGAGCCTATGGCGGTTCGCCTTTCCTGGGTGCGAGCTACGGAGCCTCGTAACGGAGAAGTGGAAAGAGATGGGATGGCAAGGCTCGGATCCCTCCACAGACTTTCGGTAAGTAGGACAGAGTTTTTTCTCTTTAGTTTTTTCTTGTGCTTTGAACGGGGGCATTTGCTGGCTGTAGGGGTGGCGGTTTCGTGTCTCTCGAGAACCTACTCTTCCTCGCCGAGAAGTATCCTGTACGTAAGCGTGCCTGTGCTTTGAGCGCGACCTCTTATCTTTTGCGCTGTTTTGCCAGAAATCTTTCCACAGACTCCTCCACAAGGAGGGCGGCAAGAGAGCTGTATGGGAGTACCCCTTTGCGGTGGCGGGCATCAACGTCTCGTTCATGCTAATCCAGATGTTGGACCTACGCTCAGGTTTGGTAGCATTATGAAAAAAGGATTTCCGGATGTTTACTTGTCAACCTCTCTCTCCACTTCCCGTGTCTCTCCAGCGAAGCCGAGCTCGACATCCGGCCTCAACTTTTTAAAACTCCTGGCGGGTACGTGGTCGTGCTTTCTGTATTCTACAGATCTTTTAGCTTAGCAATCCTTTTCTTTCGTGCTTTGCAGAGGACGAGACCGCTTTTGACATCTTGTACTGTATAGCTTTCGAGATGATGGACTACGAATGGCTTGCGATGCATGCGACCTACATGGAATTCAACGTAAGTTCACGGCCTTTGTGTCGTTCTTCGCGATTGATGGCGGTGTGTTCTTCCAGGCCGTGCTCACAATCACTCGGCAAAGACTAGAGCGCGAGCTCTCGCTCAAAGAGGTCACATACGTCAAGGACTTACCAGCCTACACACTCTTGTGCCAGTAGACGCACACACTCCTGACTTGGAAACCGAAAAACCTGTTAACCATTGTACAAAGATACCGATCCTGACCAACCAATTCGAGGAAGAAGACTTGCTTCATTACCAAAGAATGCACCAATATCGTCAATATATAATAGTATACCAAAGGTTCATCATCAATAATAAGCTATCCGGGGTGGGGGATTTGAAAAGCAAAACTGGGTTGTTTCTTTCGTCTCGCCATGAAAAGAATGCTTCTAGGCGGTGGGAAGTGGTAGCGGCGTGGTTAGCTCCTCGGGAGCTTTCGAAACTCCTCCAGTGGTCGGCCTGGGATGGAAGAGCACGAGAGAGGAGATTTGAGAACTTCCCACAAGGAGAGAAATAGCAAGAAACTTACAGTCCAACGAAGACTTTGAAGGCGTCGTAGATTACCCACTGCGCTCCAGTGAGAGTTCCAATCATCACGATACGCAGCGGTAGCCCCCGGGTGACGAGAGCCACCAGGCCCATGCTCTTGACGGCCTGGAGCAAAATAAAACGAGCATTTAGCCTAATAAGCGCGAGAAACACCACGGAAACAAGGATACATACTTGGCCAACGGTGGCGTCCTTGGTATTGTTGAGGAACGAGACAAGGTTGTCAGCAGGGTGCGAGACGAGAGCGCAAAAAATGCCAGCAATGTAACCCCCAGCAAAACTAACACCCAGCTGCTCCACCTTGCTACACTCGTCCTTGGGCTTGGGAACAACGTTCTTGTAAAGCGCCTCGACTGTGGCCTCAAAGCATGTAAACTTCATCATCGTGTCTGCCATAAACGACAACCCAATCAGTGAAACCATTTCTTTCGTCTTGTTGGCGTCCGAGAGTTGGATAGCTTACATGGAATTTGGCGTCCCCAGAGAGGTACCAGTCCTCTGTAAAGTCTGAGCACAGAAATACCAAGTGTCAAAAAGTTAAAGAGCGAAGACAAGAACAATACCCAGCAACGCCCTCAGCCCTCGTGATTTTCGGCAGTCCATCGAGAAGCCCATTAGCGAATCCGGGCTTGGTTTGGACCCGGACCTTGACGGCCTCCATCGGGCACAGCGCAATATCAGCGAAGAACTCGGACGAGAAAGATCCGGCCAAGTAAATGAAAGTCTTGTACTTGTACGCATTCTCGGCTCCGGCCAGGTCCGAGTAGTACTTTTTGAAGAACTCGTAGAGCCCATACTTGAAAGCTCCCTGCGCACTGTATCCAAGCAGCGTCGGAACCCATCCCTTGAACAAACCTTTGGGGCCAGCCTCGCGATACAGAGTCCCAAATCCACTGGCGGTAGATTTATACTTGGCGGGATCAATCTGACCAAAGAATCGATCGATCAGCCACACACCTCAAGAAGATTACCTGCATATTACACTTGACCACGTCCAAGGGCGTCATGGCCATGTGCGTGAGGCCGCAGCATAGAGCCCCCCCGACAGTGCACGCCGCGTAGAATTCCGGCGAGTACATCGCGATCTTTCTCGTCTCGTCTGGGGATGGGATGAGAAACCTGGAAGAAGATTGGCCATTGATCGGAATGGCAGGAGCTGGCGCCTTGAATCCCTTGCTCTTGTACAGGAATGATGGCAGCGTACTGGATCGACTGTCTTCAAGCGCCATTGTGTGTATTGGAACATTTCCGGATTTCCGCACCATTTAAACCAATACGACACTGTGGCCATCGCGGAGACGTGGGAGGACCAACAATGCCACGCTTCGTGGAACTGGAAGACAATAACGGCGGCTAACTCTTGGAGAAACAAGCAATCAAATATTGACCTTATTAATACCCATCTGAAATAATTAATAATAATATAAACGAAGCGCAAATCGTCGCTGAAAGGTTTGATTGGTTCCCTCAGGAGGCCGCCGCCGACATCGAGCAAGTGCGCTACTTCTTCTATTCGCCTATTAACGACCACTCACTCTTTGCGTTTGTGTCAATCCTTTACCTGGCAAGCCTGCTCCCCGAGGAGCGTGAAGGGCTCCAAAGATCCCTTCAGCCGGTTTCTCACGGTCGGTTGTGATCTTGTGGTGGAGTTTGCTGCTACTGCACCACGACTTTGGTACTTGCGATGGAGATGACGAGATTGAGAGGCCGCTGCAGAAGTTTTGGGAGCGCTTTTGTGGGAGGAAAGGCGTGCGCGTCGTCGAGGATGCTGTTTGTCGACCGGGCAGTCTTGACATGGCGGTGCTACGTCCCCCACCGGATCTATACTTTGGTAATATCATGCTTTCCTTGGATTTCATCCATGGATGCTTCTTTGTTTTTCCAGGACGGCAGGAAGGACGCAGCGAAGTTTTTACCCGAGTGCTGTGCTAACGCGTCCATTTGTTACTAACAGGAAAGGCTCAAAACTCCACCGAATTTGGTGTTCCCAACATCTTGGACCTTGTCTGTAGGCTGACGGGAGAGTGACTACTTGTTCTACTTGCCAGTGAAGAACCTGGGATGGAACTTGCGGGGTGCTTGCACACGGACAAAAGACATGGTAGGGAGGAATACTCAATACTCGAAGGTGACAGGAACGCCTTGCCTGGAGTGTCACGAACGTTCCCGGACGAGGAATTTCCAGTGTCACCATTCCGTGTAAGCGAGGCCAGGCTGCTGTTGCGCGGGACTGCAAGCACGACATGGTCGTTTCATCCGCGAAGATCAAGGAGAGAGCGGTGGATCACCGATAATTCCTGTGCTCCTCCCACAGCCTCCGCATCACGGTTAAACTTTGCACGTAGCCTTTACGGCCGATGCTGGAGGGAATGACGTCCATGTCCACTGGCCTGGACGACGGTAAGTTACATATGATCCTCGGATTTTTTGCGTGTCAGATTTGGGATGCTGAATATATTGATAGATACTACCATCCACGACATTTTTAGGATGCTTCTTAACCATGAAAAAGAAATCTGACTCTAGCAAATATATATAAATTTCTTTTCAACAATCAAGGTTTGCAGACCACGTTCCTAATTTCACTAGATTATAATTTGTCTTTGGTGTGTTCTTTATATATTATTTGTAATTTTATTGTTTTATAGTTGTTGTAGTATGTTCTTTATAATCCATGTTGAAGTCACCCAAAAACAAATATCCTTCGTGATCTCTTAGTATAATTTGATCTATATGTTGATAAAAAAATTTATATTTGTATTTGGATTTCCATTTGTGTTTTAAGCATTTACTTATTATACATGTCATTGTATTAAATGTCTTCAATAAAGTAGTTTCTATAGCATAGTATTGTCAGTTTGTCTTCTATATATAATACAACAGATGTTGTAATTAAAATTTATATACTTGCGTATGTTTTTGTTTCAATTAGTTTTCTAGGTTGATTAATTTTTAGTAGGAGGTAAAGAATATACTTAGAGTATCTAAGCATGTTTTAGGATAGTTTAGCATATTTTTTAAACTACAATTTTATTCTTAAATGTTTTTTATTCATTTGAGTTTTTATACCAATATTAGTTTTTACTTACGTTTATATAATAAAATTTAAGCTTGTCTAAGCTACTTAGAATTAGATGTCAATAGAGCAAATTATGTTATCTGCTAGCTCTAGCACTAGTAATAGTTTAAATGTAATTCTCATGAATCTAATAAGAAATTCAGGTGAAATATAATCAGATAGTATAGCTTACTCTAGATGGATATAAAGGCTTAAAATTTAATAAACTTTGTATAAGATCCTAGACATATAAAAATATAAATGATTATGAGTTACATACATAACAAGGAAATAATAAATGTTATCTAATACTGCTTATTTTTAAGTTTGTATTGAACCTTCAACCAAAAGCAAACTAAGCATTGCTGCTAATTTAATTATTATTTTATTTTGTGTACGTTATACATAATTGATATGATTGTTGTTAATGATTTTACTAAATTTTATTTTTTCTTCTTTTATACTCTATTAGTAACTCTTGATAAAGCTATGTAAGCACATATATGTATCTTTATTCTATCATTTTTGTTATTTAAGCTCTATATTGTTCTTACTAGTGTTAATTGTTTTGGAAATTAAGTTCTTGAAATTTTATAATTCATATTTTTGTAATTTTTCTTAAATATTTTGTATGCTTTAGCTATAATACTTTGTTTTGGTAATTATAAAAGTACTCAATCTTGTATATAGTCTTTTAATTCTTCTATTATTCATTCATCTAAATTAAATATATTTGAGATTATTTCAATTTGAATTCTATTTTTAGTTTCATATATTATATAATCATTTGGTTTGGTGGGGATATATAATTGAGTAAATATCATAGCTTTTGATTATTATATTTTTTTGAATTTAATGTAACTGTATTTTCATTGTGTTCTTGTACTTGCTTATTTGTTTGGATGTATAGATGTTTGTGGTTAATTTCTAATGATTTAACTTAATGGTTTAAAAGTTATTTATTTTTTCTCATTTTGAGTAGCTGTTCTTATTTTATAAACCTAAACCTAAACTCTAAACCCTAAAACCCTTGTTTATCTTTTTTTTTTCACATCATTATTTTGTCAATTAAAATATATTCCATGAATTGTGAGTGTATGGAATATGGAAATGGAATACAGAAAATGTGCATATCAATTAGCCCAAAAACCTTAATTTATATACAAGAGTAAGTGGTCCAAATTGAAACAAATTCGATGGCTATTAAAATCCCACTATGATAATATTAGTATACAGCATCGTAGGCATACACTTGGACTTCACATCATCCCTTCCTTTTGGCATAATAGAAGACTATTAGGGTTCTCTTGTAAATGGGTTGGGATCTAGAGGAACACTAGAAAGAAGCATTAGTGAATCTGTAGGTGGTATCAATTGTTTTTTATCCTTTTGTATAAAGTGTTTGAATTGCTGCACATACACAATTTCTGAAGGATCAGCTTGTTGGATGTCATGCCAAACTTCATAGACATGTGGTCCAACTTTCCACAACACTTGATATGGTCCTTTCCACTAAACAAGGAGCCCCTTAGATAAACTACATATTGTAAGATGGGGAAAATGGACTAACACCAAGTCATTCAATTTGTACTTTGCAAGTGGACAATGATGGAAATTGTAGCGCTGTTGTTGTCCCACTTGTACACAACCTAAATGTTGTGTAGACTCTACTAGGACAAGTGGAAGAATGCTTGTCAAATACTGATCCCACGACTTAGTATTTGCAGCTCATCGCAATTGCAA